ATATAATATGACAAACATCGGGTGTGTTTGGTATAATGGAAAATATTTTCCGTGAAAAATTCATATTTTCTTGGCAACCAAGTGATAATATTATTCATTTTCCTGTGTTTGGTACGCAAATTAAGGAAAATGACTTCTCAAGAGTATTCATAAATAATTTAGATATAATAAACATGAAGCCATAAACTTTCAAACTAACAACCTTCCGGACCCACAAATTTCATAGAAACATGAAGCCACAAATTTTTTATAGAAACTTGTTAAACCAACACTCCAAGACTTCTTTCATATTTTCTATAGAAATTTATATCTACAGGTTTAAACATTGGGAAAAAGTTATTTCAGCATCATCCAGTTAAAATCAAAATTCTGAAAAAATTACTCTGCCTCTGCGATATGCAAATTTTGGACGTGTTGGGATGTTATTTTTTGCTTTTTTCAGCTTTCCATCTCTCTCATCATTTATCCTATTTTTATTTATTTATTCACTTCTTTAACATTTTCCCATGGACAATATTGAAGTTTATATAAAAAAGTATAAAATCTTTATTTTAAAAAAAGAAGAAGAAGAAGAAAGAATGTTTACTTTTGAACAATAGAAATATTCTATAACTTCGAATTAAATTACTCAAATCTTCATGTTAGTGAATAAAAGTTTTACAATAAAATCCAAGATAATATATTACAAATACGTGGTTATATCTTATTAACTTAATTAACTATTACCAATATAAATAATAATATTATTATCTTAAGTTAAAAGTTTTATGTCTTATAAGAATACTATATCATAAAGTTTAAGGCCTCTTATTAAAATTTGGCTTTAAGTTATAATTTTATTGAGCCGCTCTTGGTCTAAATTTTCCCTTAACTTTGAAAACTTTGAAATGCTACAATTTTATTGTGTTCTTTCACTTTCTCTTTTACAAATTACTATATACGAGTAATCCTGGATTTGTATCGGTCAGTGCTACTGCTAAACTGTTTCAGAAGGTTGTTTCTACTCCTGTAAATCTTTGTTCAGTGTCAAGTGGTGATGGAGCAGTTGTGCATAGAAAGCTCTCCAAAGTTTCAACAGGCAATGATCCTGGATTTGCATCGGTTAGTGTTGCTTCTACTCATGTAAATACTTGTTCAGTGTCAAGTGGTGATGGAGCAGTTGTACATAAAAAGCTCTCCAAGGTTTCAACAAGCAATGATGCTGATGGTTGTGTTGCTGCTGCTGAAAGCAATTCATGCCCGAATTCTCAGGTCAGCACTCAGAGAAAGCAACAACAAATTAAACTTTCTAAGGAAAATGGCGGCACCAGAGTACATCAACAGCAACTTACAGATGTTTTGCAATCAAAAAGTAGCAAGACCTCCTCAAGACTTGACACACCTACGGTGACTGGTGCTGCCAGAATTATCCCGTCTAAATATAAGACTCCTCAGTCTTTACACCGTCACTGTCCAACCAATAATCCTGGAGGAACATCTCAAAGTTTTTAGTGGCCTCCCAAAGCTCATCCAAAACAAACATAGAGTTTCTTGCAATAAAACACTATTAGACAATTTTCTGAAACAAATTCATATGTTCCATATTTCCATCAATATATATATAACTCCTTTTGGGGAATAAATTTGCATGTATACCTGTTTGACTTGAACTATGCGTGTCTGACTTGTCTCTTGAACTATGCGTGTCCGACTTGTCCTGCAAATGTCCAATTTTACCTTTGACATTGGGTAGTAAATGACAGTTTCTCCATATGAACCCAACAATAGTACTAATGTGGAGAAATGTTAAGATTCTGAGTGCAGCCAATGAGGAGAAATGACACATGTTGTCGTCACTATAATGTCTGCTGATAAAAATAAAATACAGAAAGTTCCTCTAATATTCCGTTTGGACAAATTCAATTACCATTGCTATGAATTTGCTTCAAAACAAACAAATTCAAGTTTCGATTAGGAATATAAAATAAAAGTTTTCCTCTAACCATTATTGTTAGAAAACAACATGTGAAACAAACAGGTGAAGGTATAGATATTGATTTCGCATTATGAACACATCAACTTGGAAAACAACTCCTCACTAGGACTTGACAACTGTGAAATGTATCTCCTACAAAGGCAGAATGGTTAAATTCTTCCGAAATCTTAAATTGAGCAACACATTCCTTGAACATCCGATAGTTCAAATAGCTAATTTGATGCATAAAAACAGTACTAACAAAAAGAGTGAAGTAACAAAAAGAGAGAAGTAATTAATTGAATATAATATCTAAATGCTACATTAATTGAATATAATATCTACGGGCTACAGATAATTTCCTTTTACTTATGTGCTTACTAAATTCAAATATTTAAAATCTTTAGAACCAAATGGCCAAGTAACAATCAACAAAATTTGAAAAGAGGAAGTTTAACTATGAGAAAGTGAGACAGTATGCTTTTTGAAACTTTATCTTCCAATTTTGAAGGAGTCATCTTAGTGTCTAAGAAAATTGACATATGGGTTTTACAGATACAGTGAATTATGCTTTAGTTTTAAGTATAAATATGAAAAAGTTGAATATGTTACCCTTGCATTCTGTAAAATCAACTCGAGGGAAAATGACATTTCAGGTTTGAAACGATCCGGGATTTTTCAAATTCCAACAACTCTAACCTTCACATTCCATTGCATTAAATTACTTAAAAATTTCTCTGATTTGATGAACTGGTGAAACCATCCTTCAAAAGTTGTAGTAAGAAATATTATTTAGAACAGAATAAAGAGAGAATGAAGAACAAATAGCATAAATAATAACTGCTTTGAACGTAGGAGAAGGAGAGAACGTGGAGTTAGATTAGGATTGTTATGCCAATCCCACTTTGGGAATTATGCAGTCGTGTGGTTTAATTTTGGGGTATTTTATTTATTTTTTTCCTTAAGTAATAAGTATTAAGTATATGAATAAAGTTTACTCTAAATATTTTGGAATTGGCTGGTTTCTTTTGGAATTGGCAGAAAGTTTAAAGTTTTTTACAATAAGTACTAAATGACAAGTTTGAAGTTTTTACCTTTAAAAAAAATTAAAATAAAGCTTTTGAAATTGGCAGTTAATATTAACTGCCAGATTTGAAGTTTCAGTTATATTTCAAAAGAAATAAAATTCGAAAATAACTGTCATCATTAATTTATTTTTACATTTTTTAAAACAAATTTGAAACTCCAACAAAGTTGGAGAATCGTCCGAAAAACTTACGCATATCAATTTAATGTTATGTCACTTATCGTTATGACCTTTGTTTACCTCTCCTATTATATATATAAATTAAATTAAATTTTTTAAATTAGATTTGAAACTCCAACAAACTTGGAGAATTGTTCAAAAAACTTACACATGTCAATTTAATGTTATGTCACTTGTCCTTTCTTTACCTCTCCTATTATATATAAACTAGTATTAGTACCCACGCAATGCGCGGACAAAAATCATGTCAAATTGTGATGTAGGTTGTTTGAATCATGTGCGAATAACCTTAAAATATAAACCTCTGAGATAAAAATTATATAACATTAGATATTAATTACGAAGAAGGATATGAAATTATTGTTTAAATCTCGTAGTAGACAACCTATTTTTTTTAATATATATTTGTAGTAGCATAACCCTTATTTTTAGTACTTGTATTTCGTTTCGCTGTCAATATTAAAGAATACTAAACATGTCATGTTATGATCTGTCTTGTTTGAGCATATTAGATAATATTATTTTAATAAAATTCTTACTACCACTTTATTTTTATTTGAAAGTCAAATATGTCTTATTTATCACATCATTTTTATGCAAATTATTTTTTGGTTCTTTTCTTATTGTTATTGTATTATTTATTATTTAATATTATTATACTATTACATAATTTTTTATTAGCTTAATAATTAAATTAATGTATTGCTTATTATCCTTTAATAGTCTTTAATAAATATAAATATTTTATTCTTGAAATTTGATTTAATTTTACGTTTGTAACCTCTTATTTCGGAATTTTTTTAATCATTTAAATTTAAAGTAATACTTTAAAATATAATCTAATTATTTTGTTTTTAAATTAATTTAAAGTATAAGTATCCTCACACTGCCTCTATTTTTTATGCATTCTCTTCCCTACTACAATATTTTAATTTGTTTTTATATTAATATTTCACCTATAACAAAAATAATATCATATTTTATTTTAAATTATAACTTTGAATTAATTTATTTGATTATTATATTCCAAGTGTATTGAGTTCTCTTAGTAATTATTTTGGTATTAAATGCAGTTAAATTTTCTTTCTTTTTTAGTTTTAAGATACAAAATTAATTTTTAATTTTTATTAGTAAAATTACCTATATTAGAATTTTATTTTGTATTTTTAAAATTTTATTTTAATCATAAAAAATATTTCTTAATTATTTTGAACCTATTATTTCTGAATGTTGTAGCAATATTTTCAGTGTCATATTATTTCTTTATATAAATTTTCTTTCTTTTTTAGTTTTAAGATACAAAATTAATTTTTAATTTTTATTAGTAAAATTACCTATATATAAATTTATTTTTATTTTTTAATTTTTATTTTTTATTTTTTATTTTATTTTTCATAAATAAGACTTCAATTTTGTGGTATTATCTATAGTTTGAGCATTCTCATCATAGTTTTAAGAACTTTCTCAACTCAAATAGTCTTTCTCTTTCATTTCGATTGGTACATTTTTAATAATTTAACGTAATTTTGCTATTTTTTAAACTGTATATAGTCTTATTACGTTTTGTGTGGCTTTTCATTAACTTGTAACTTTATTTAATATCATTATCAACTACTATTATTTAANCTATATATTAGAAGAGCTGATTTTGGACATGGCTGCTTACCTGTCTTTTAATTTTTGTTTAAGGGCATTTTGGACCTTTAACAGAATCTAATAATCCGTGTCCTTTAAATCCAAAACTGAACGGCCACCGCATCAGTTCTTGCACTCAATCACTTTATAAGGAAACATGTGTTTGTGATTATCAGTTAAGATATGTCTTTTCTATTTTCTTTGGTTCCATCGCCTTTTCTCTCTCGCTTTGCTCCGGCTTAAACATTGCCGGTGAGTTCTAGCGATCGTATTGTTCCTTGCTACTTCCTCTCTATTCTTTCCATGGTCTTCGTTCTTCTTTGCGGGTTTTCCCTTTGAGTTTGCTTTGCACACATCTATCTTCATTTGTTTTTTTATTTCAGCAATCCAAATAATCAGGGACAACTTCAGTACTGAAGATCTCAACTAAGGTAAAATACTATTCTTAAGCCCTTGTACTTAGAGGATCATAAACCCTATCCAATAAACACTTCATCTGCCTACCTCTATGTTTTGTGGCAAAAAGTTTTGATTGGGGTGTTTTTGTTTCTTTCGTGTTTAGTAAATGGTTTTGAATTTATCATATTAATTAAGAATAATTGTTTAATGCTGAAGAAAGACCAGACCTTATAACCCTCTCAAAGTGAGCTTTCCAATCCGGCTATCTCAAAGTGAGATTTTCAATATATTATTAGAACTGGATATGGATTTGTAGTTAGCTTTTGTTGAGTAGACTTCGGGACTTCACTGAGAAGACTCAAACATGACAAAAATATTTATCACAGATTTTGAGGAGGTTTCAGCCTTTCAGGTAAGGTTTATCTCATATCTTAAAGGACCCAATTTGTTGCTTTTCTGTAAATAGAGACTTGGGTTGTTATATCCCATTCGTCGTCTTCTCTTAAGATTTAGAAAACATGAATGGTGTCTCTATTTCCAGAAGTTCAAAATAGATCACATCGCGGAAACTGCGTAAATATCTGGTATGATAGCCACCGCACCATCTTGCCTTTTTTTTTTTCCACCTTTCTGTAAAGTGTTCTACATTTCATCTTCTCGGATGATTGCAACGCCATTTATGCCTATTTTCTCTCTGCTATTTACTCTCTGTAACTTTTCTGTTGTTCAGCCCTTTGTTTTGTTTGTGAATGCTTACAATTTCAGCTTGCATATTGCATTGGAACTTCAAGATGGGAATCCATCACTGAAAGATCCGGGTTCAACCCTTTGTTCCGAGCATACTGTTTGTGAAATGAGAGGTATAATAAGTTATTAACACTGATTTACTTCTTTTTAAATTTAATGATGTACGATCATAGTCGCTATCCCTTTTAGTAAGAAATGGAATAAGAATCAAAGTAAAATTAGGACGGATTTCATATTACGCTTTTGCTTTTATAGGTTTTAATCTGTATCTTTTTTAAGAAATCGATTTATGTGCTTTCGTGTGTGTAATTTTATTGACTGACCTTGAAATTTCGATCTATTTTTTATTTATTTATAGGCATAGTTTTTGGGATAGCTAGATGGAGTAACGATTTATGGTAGCTCGAAGTATACACCACTCCGAGAATCTTAAAGGCATCAATTGTCTCGTAAGATTTTAAAAATCTTTAGTTGTGCTTCAGTAAAGTTGGATGCAAATAATCCAGAAAAGTAAATTTTGGTTATGGCAAGACAACATACTAGGAAGAAGGTTTTAAAAGCTAACTTTCTGTATTTTAGAGTTCTGAAGATTGATAAAGAGAAGTTTGGTTATTTGTGCATCAGTGTTATATGTGCGAATAATTGCATTCTTGCTAAGAATTATTCTGAGAAAAATATAATGCCTTCAAATGTGGAGATATAGTATAATTAAGTTTGTAGTTGCTCTTTTTTTCTTTTTGATAATGACTCTTCTAAAAGATATACATAGGTTTCTTCTTTGTCTTTTTTTAGTTTCTTCAGTTTCTACAGGTCGTCTCCAGTCTTTTGACTCTGTTCAAGCTACAGGTATGCACATATCTTCTTCTTTTTCTTGATTTATTTTTTTAGGTCAGCTTTTTTTGACTTCCCTCCATCCTTCTTAGTTTTGCTATTTAATGGATGTAGAAAACCTTCATAGCAATAAAAAATTCATTCTTGATTTCTCTTCTGTGAAGCCTAAATGCTTCTCGGTCTCGGCTTGATAATGATGAAACAGAAGAAGAAATTCGTTATCATCTCTTATTTCTGGTTTTTAGATTTTTCATACATTTTCTTCTATATTTATTTCTTTTATCTTATTTTTATGTCTTTCTTTTTCTTACAAAAAAATAATTTATTTCGCTATAAAAGGATGAGTTTAAATAGAAATGGTCTACATAAGAACTTTATTTATATTTTTAGTCATTAGTTGAAATTCTTCCATTTTTTGGCTTTATCTAATCAACCTAAATAAGTGCTCGCCTTACCACTTAAATTAAAAAATTGAACAATGTGTAATTTATGTATAATTCATATATAATATGTATAATCGTGTATTGCCAGTATATCATCTATGGGTATTAGCTAGAAAAAGTAAATAATAAATCTGGCCGGATATTTATGTAAATATTTCATAAGATTTCGGTTTTTTGATTTTATCCATGATATGACTTCTATTATAATAATTTAAAAACTCTACAAAATTCTAAAATATCTTATCTTTTTATTTTTAAAATTACATTATATTTTTAAAAATAATCCCATTTTGAAATAATTTGTTTACATTTTATGTCATACCAGTTTTTTTTTAAAATATACTTTTTGTTACACTTGAAAATTACTATAGAAACTATCAATTAGAAAGTAATGTCCTCTTGTTGAATTCGAAAAATAACTTTTCACATAATCTAGTGATTCAAACTGTTATTTTTCAACAAAAAATATTAAACCCTTGTAATGTTGGCTTAACTGCATCTAAATGAAGAGGTTTCAGCTTATACCCTTCAATTCCTAATAGGTGCTAAATTAAAATTAATGATAGCAATTGTATAGCCAAAGTTTTGTTATTTCTTTGATGTCCATTTATACAAGTTGACTCTTCAAACAAACATTCTTCAAAAAGGAAAAATAATAATCTTTTTGAATATTGACTGATTTTTGTGATGTTTCATTCTCCAGCATGCAAGTAAACTTTTATATATGTAAGTAAACTTTTATTTGATTTTTAAACTCTTTTTTATTATCTTAATAACTATAGACGTGTACCCTATATATTATATTTCTTTTAAAAGAAATTCGATTTATTCAAATATAGCTATATTATTTTAAGGAACTATAATTATAGGATTTTAAATGTGAAAGAGTTTTATAGTTATATGGAATAATTTTTTTTTTCTTTTTTTGCCATAGGCGCAGTAGTAGTTAAATAATCAGAAACGATAACAAAAGTTCCTAGCATGATTACATATGATCATTAACCAAATTAAGTATGATAACTTAACAAAAAAAGAAGAAGATAAATTTCTTTTTTAAAATTTTAATTCAAATTTAAAAACTTATAAGTATATGGTAACTTTATTCTATATTTAACTATCTTAGTCATATATATATATATATATATATATATATATATATATATATATATATATATATATATATATATATATATATGTTTCAGTGCGGATGGCAAGTACTTCACTCCATCATGATTCCTAATTGGTAGTTAAGTTTATTCAACTTCGGGAACTTAACATTAGACGGTAGCATATATGGGTTTGGTATAGAAAACACGTTAGGATATGCTATTATATGAAATGAGTCTAACATTAAAAGCATTGATAAATTGTTTTAAGAATTTGTTGTGACGGTGTAAAAGAATTTGAACATTCAGTTCAGACTTTATAGCAATGGTGGAAGTCCTAAATCTTCACAAATAATTTTGATTGCCCTCATGTACTTTAGGAGGTCCATTATATACCTTTTTTACTTTGATTATTTGGACGGATTTAAATTATGGTACTCTGATCGCATAGGGGGCAAGAACGGAGTAGACATTTTGGTTGATGGTGATCTCCAGGAGCTAAGAGATTGAGCGACAGGTTGATTGTCACGACCCGAAATTCTCACCATCGGGACCGTGAAGGCGTCTAACATCACACTTGCTAGGCAAGCCAACGTTAGAGTATTGTTAACCAATTTCCTTTACGTTTTAGTGGTTAAAAATAAACAAGCTAAAGCAAGTAAAAATAAATGCGGAAGTAAGTAAATGGCCTCTTTGTTTATATGCTATTACCAATACTATTGCTATTACTATCCAAAATTCGGTGTCTCAATCCACGAACACACTAAGATTTGTTACAAACATTAGTTCGAAAGAAGATACAATTGTTTATGAAGGGAAGTAAAAATAGTAAATGTAGGAGTATAGAAGGGGACGCCAGGGCCTACGGACGCCAGCAAGACTATCCTTGGGTCTCTTAGTAGAAAATATCTGCACCCGACCTCTCGATCAGCTACTACCTGCTCCAAATTCTGCATAGAAAGTGTAGAGTGTAGTATCCGTACAATCGACCCCATGTACTGGTAAGTGCCGAGCCTAACCTCGACGAGGTAGTGACGAGGCTACGGCGGGGCAATTACAATATAACTTGCATACAGTTTATAATAAAAACAGAAAGAAAGACATGACGAAATAAAGCAGTAACTTGCAAGGAAAGAATACAGAACTCAAGTGTCCTATCAGTATCCAGCTATAACCCATCCTTAAGTGAAATGCAAAGCTACATATAACTTATACTGTAGAAGAAAGATACATAAACACATAAACTGATGCGGTGTGCATCCCTATCCCACCATATATCAATATCAATATGAATATTCACCCTTATTACTCCATATCAATCCACCATTATTCCTCCTGTTGCGGCGTGCAACCCGATTCCACCATATATTAACATTTCACCCTTATTCCTTTATAACTTAGGATTTTTACGTGTTTATGCCCCTACTTGCCTAGGCTTTGAGTATAAATTGATACAAAATAGTCTCAAAATGCTCACAAGTTGTGCTTGATTGCAGGTTTGATCGACAAAGTGACGAAATGTCAAAGATCGGCTCAAAAAGGAGTGAAACCTGCTCAAGTATCAAAGACCAAGAGAATTGAAGAATAAAGGGCCTAGTGCGGACTGCGTAACAGTGACCGCGGCCGCACTAGGAGGTTGAGAGACATGACATATTCAGGCATAAAGTCACGCGGTCGCGGTAGGATTTTCGCGGTCCGCGGTGAAGCTTCGCGGCCGCACTCCTGCTTTGTGCGGTCCGCGTTCATAAGGATCAGAGAAGGGCACTTTTGATCACGTGGTCACGACTGCGCGGACCGCGCCAGTTGCCATCGCGGCCGCGGTACACTTCCACGCGGTCCGCGTCCCCCAGTTCAAGTTATCAAACAGTTGAAGTCCAAGAACCAGTGCGGTCGCGGTCCATTCTGTGCGGCCCGCACTGACCCCGCAGGGGTATTTTTGTCTAGTTTTTCCAGCATAGTATAAATAGAACATTTTACTATTATTAGGTATCGGTTTTATCTGGGAACTTGAGACGAAAGCTGCGCTTGGTGTTGTAGCCATTTTTGGCATATTTTGCTTCCTATTAACAATAGATTATTGTAGTTTCTTCTTAGTAATTAATTAATATGTTTAGTTCTTCATCTATTTCTTCAGTTTCTTCTTGAATTATGTGTAGCTAAACTCATTAGCTAGGGTTGTGGCTCAACCCTAGTGTGGGTAATTGATGAGTGTTGCCATCTAGGGTTAGATTGATATTGGGTGTTTGCTTTTTTGGTTGATTTTATGTTTTTATTCAAGAATTGGTGGTTGCAAACGCTGATTCAAGCTTAGTGGGTTTGACTCTTCTTGAGAAAGAGAGTCTATGACCCCATAATTGACTCAACAAGAAATTGGGATGGACCCATGAGAAATGGTAGTCCTAATTAACGGGTTAAATCTCGAGAGAGTAATCACCCTACTTGAACCCTAGTTGTTTGGTCTCATTGGCCTATCCAATTGGTCTCGAGAGAGTCAATTGGGCAAAATCACTCTTTCTACTTAGAGGTGTGAGAGTGGGTGCAATTGTGCAACGGTTTCAGCATAATCCCCAAATATGTCAGTCTATCCTTAGTAACATCTACCCGTCAATTAGCCACCTAGGTGATGCTACGACCCTAGTGCTCTTCTTCCCATTAATTACAACTTAGCAATATTCTCCTAGCATAATTTAGCTTTAATCCTTAGTTTTATAATAGTGGTTATAAATACAAAAACTCAAAAAATGTTTGAAGTGACATTAGAAGCACAACCTCAACTCTAGGCTAGACAGAAAATACAACTCCACTACTAGCTCCCTGTGGAAATTCGATCCCGGACCTCTATTCGGGTAAAAGCTATTGTGACCCGCTCTTCCTACCATAGTGTAGTGTCGAGTCAGTAGCGATCACTTTTTGGTGCCGTTGCCAGGGAGCTTACGGTGTTGAGTCGATCACTATCAGGTACAACGGCTCTTAATGCAAATGACCCTTTCGGCGATGTGATAGCGGGGGAAGAGGTAGAGGATCTAGAACAAGATGATGTCTTACCTTAAGTTCCACAGAGAGGCCGAAATGCCAATGCAAATGAGAACAACAATATTCCAGACCCTCCTCCGGCACCGCCGAGAGTGGCACCCAGAGTTCTACCAAATCAAGAATACGCCAGTGCTATTGTTCCTCCCCGAATCCGGGCAGGGAACTTTCAAATCACAAATGTTATGTTGACCTTGCTCGAGCAAAGAGGGTATTTCACGGGTGCCTCCAATCAAAATGCCTACAAGCACTTGAAGGGGTTCGTGGATACCTGATAGGGTAGCAAGCAGACAAACGTGTCCGAGGATGCGTTGAGATTGAGGCTTTTCCCGTTCTCTCTTCGTGGTAAAGCATTGGATTGGTTAGAAAGGCTCCCCAATCATTCTATTACAACATGGGATGAATTGGCGGATAAATTTATTTCCAAGTTCTTTTCTCCAAGTCATATGGCAGCTCTTTTGGATGAAATTCTAGCTTTCAAGCAAGAGCCAACGGAACCTTTGCACGAGATATGGGAAAGATATAGAACAATGGTGAAAGAATGCCCTAATAACGACATGACCGAGGTTATGATTCAACAAACCTTTTATCGGGGCATCAACACCACGAATCAATGCATTGTGAACCAATTGGCCGGAGGGAACT